CTGGAGTTGAATATGCCACATTATAAGTTTTGTATACTCTATGGATGATTAATATTAATGATGACCTGAACACATAATGCTCAATGTTAGTGATGTACTTACCGTAGTTATGTTTGATGGATAACCAGTAATCTTATTTCTAATTGTAAAAACTGATGCACAAAAGTTTGTAACCAAACGACATGCTTGATGAAATTGAGGAAAGTTTTTTGTATGTGTTGTTTTGTTTTTGTTTGTTTTAAAAATAAATAAAAAATATTTAAAAAAATTAGAAATAATAACTAATGGCAAATGCATGATGAATATTTAGAAATAATTAACACATATTGTCTCTGCACACTAGGATCAGACCATGAAGCTGAGCACTAATGAAAGTATTTATTCGTGCATTGCATATGAAATTGATGGAATTATCACCTTATTCAGAGCAACTGCTGCAAACAATACGTCGAGTAATAAATGCTGTAATACGAGCCACAATTTAATGAATGAGTGACAGTCCAAACCATCGGCTTCAATGGGGGAATTTAGTGTACTGAGCAAGCAACCAGAAATATCTTTAATAATTTCCTTTTAGAAAGCGAAGCATCCACAAGTTATGTCCAGAAATGAAGCATTTGTAACTTATATATAGTTTTATATTTATTACCCAAGTATGCAGTTGAGTACAATGTCCCTTACGAAACAAGCTTATATTTTGTGCCGTGTTCCTCCTCCCCCTGTAACCCCCTGTTACCTTTGCCAGAGACACTTGGGTTTTTGCATTCCTGAATGTCGACTTTGTTATCCAAACGGATCTTCACTCTGCCACTGTGTGCTTTATTGTCAAACGTAATCTAGGGACAAAACGAAGAGAAGAAAAGAATGAAAGCAGCATCTTCAGCTCTACTGCCATACCTAGAATGTGAACGGGGGAATCCGTGAACATGAGTTGAGCAGCAGAGATGGGGGCACTTGGCTACTCACTGTTATAGAAAAAGTGTAGCAGTCTGGAATTTCATTGTTGATTATTGTTTGGATGTTGATGGCTTTTAGCTTGAAGTCAATTGTGACATTAATGAGCCTGCCAGAAACAAGATGTGGAGAGTTATCTGCATCATAATCTTCCACAACATCTCCCAAGTACACAAATATAACAGAATGAGAAAAATGACTAGATCTCAACAATTGAAACTGTACAAAATATGAGACAATAATTGCATTCTTCAAATATGGCAGACAGACAGACAGAGATAGACAGACAGCTATCTACAGTCATGTGAAAAAGAAAGTGCCCCTTCTTTGAGTTCTATGTTTTTATGTATCAGGACATAATCTGATATTCTTTGTTTTGGTTTTCTTATTGTAAAGTAAACGATGTTATGGTGTAATACGTCATGTGTTATTGTTCATCTGAGGTTGTATTTACTTTTTAAGAACCGCTGAGGACCTGATGATTTTTACTACGTCCCGGTACATAAAACTATTGAACTCAAAGAGGGTGTACTTTCTTTTTCACATGACTGTAGATATGAAGTTATAGAAATCAAATTATTTTGGTTCAAAGCAGTAATGAATATAAAAAGGAATACCTGCACCATATGCACGGAAAGATCTAGCTGGAATCTTCAGGTTTGCAAAGATTAGTGCAATATCCCTCCAAAGCAACACTTAGAGCGTAAAATTAAGGGGTTTGTCAACCCTAAAGAGCTGTTACAAATACCAATAAAATATAACCATTTACTTGTAAAACTTAAGAGTAAAGTTTTTGTAGCTGCGGTCCAATGCTAGATCTGGATGTTTCCCTCTGAGATCAGATGGAGGAGGGATCTTCTCTGGGGGATCCACACCAAGGCATTCTGTATAAAAAGGAGACATTGTCTCGTGCTTTAGATCCTTCCACATTTGGATGAGAATGGGAGGAGCTAGTAGTATCAGTTGTATTTCTGCATATCAAATTGGAGTTGTGCCACCAAACCAGTGGTGGGATACAACCGGTACACCCCAGTACGGGCGTACTGGTGCCTGCTGGGAGCACCAAGTACCATTCCGGTACCGTGCTCCCGAGGGCCCACCCACCCGCCCTCCTTACCTGTATTTGAGCCGATCGGGGCTTACACGCATGTACACAGAGTGTACAGTGCCTGTGCGACGCTCCGCCAAGCAGCTGGAATGTCGCACGAAGTAAGTATGCACGTGCGTGCAGTGCATGCATGCTGCACGCGTGCATGTGGTAGACGCCCGGCCCCATTGCACCAAACTACTTGTTGTAATGGGATCCGGAACACACCACTGCACCAAACTGCTATTTATTCTTCATTTTATAATAGAAGACACACTACATAGAAAACATACCTATAAAAATGGCAATAGAAAAGACAGCTTCCCTTATTTTCTACCACAAGTCAAAATGAGTAAAGAGGTTGAGAAACCTGAGACAAGGGTAGAACCCAGGAAAGTAAAGGCTGCTAGAGAAGCTTCCTGGTTTTACAGAGAAGTTGCATCGTATTACAGCATAATAAAATATTGTTTTAAGAAGGAAACAAGAAGGAAAACCATTTATTTTATATTATTCATCTAACTTGCACCTCATCTTTTTACTTAGATTAGCATTCAATTTAGCTAACAAAATTTAACACTGAAATCAATTGACAATAAAATTAAAAGGTGAGTAGGAGCCACATCTCTCTCCTAAGAGTGTGTATCCCACAGTCTAGATGCAATTCAAGGAAAGACCCTCTCTTTGCTTATTAGATAGAAAATGTCTAATAGCAAGAACCTCTTCAGAATGACCCCACTTGAAGATCGCAAGGGAAACGGCCATTTCCATATCCAAGATTGAAGAGTGGATACGAGAGCTAAAGTTCAGGGAAGACATTTGCTTACCTGTGATGACCTTGGGATCAATGTTGAAAGTATCATTGGCTGGGTCAATTCTTCCCTTGCGGTAATATTGCTGGCAGAGCATGAGGGCTGATTGGTTAGCATTGTTTGGGTGAACATAGGCATAGCGTCCAATTGTCTCACTTGGAATTGCCAAATACTGTAGGGGGAAATTACCATCACCAAAATGAGGCCGGTTAATTCCAGATCATCCATATTGCCCTGTCACCCTTCTACTGCATTTGAACCTCACATTTTCCACCACATGGAAGATATGGTCATAGACGTCTGCTTGTGTGTAAACGGCATGGATGTCATCTGATCCATCTGCATAGTTCTTCAGGAAGAGATGCTTAAATGTAATAGTGTTCTCCTCTTTGAATGTTACCACCATCTGATTGCTGAGCCCAAAGAGAATGAGCTGTAGAAGAGAAGGCAAATCAAAATGGAGAAAATCACAAAACCACAAAACCTTAAAGGTAAAGTTCCCCTCGCATATATGTGCTAGTCGATCCCGACTCTAGGGGGCGTTTCAAAGCCGAAGAGCCAGCATTGTCCAAAGACGTCTCCATGGTCAAGTGGCCAGCATGACTAAATACCGAAGGAGGACAGAGCACTGCTACCTTCCCACCAAGGTGGTCCCTATTTTTCTACTTCCATTTGTACATGCTTTCGAACTGCTAGGTTGGCAGAAGCTGGCACAAGTAACGGGAGTTCACTCCATTACGCGGCACTAGGGATTTGAACCGCTTAACTGCCAACCTTTCCGATTAACAAGCGCAGCATCTCAGCCACGGTTTTTAAGGTTTTTAAAACCTTAAAAATTGCCAAAAATGTGATCCATCTGGAAAGTAAGTTCACAGCTTCATCAGCCATGTCCTCTGCACCCTTAGGAGGCCAAAGGAAGTCCAGTCCGTGGCTGCAGGAGAGATGCCTTGTCCTCTCACGGAAAAGTAAAAACGGCTCAGGATAAAATGTGATAAGATTGATTTTTTAAAAAAAAAGCCATTTGGGACTTTGCTCCAAGTTTTCATTTTCTTACCCACCTGAATGGTGACTATGAGGATCTTGATGACTTGAAGCACCAATTTAAATGGCTTCCGACCTTTGGCACGAAACTTGTCACAGGGGCTCATGAAGTAATATTTGAGACACCTTCGGAATTCTTCCTCCTCTGGGTGAAAGGCAGCAGATCCTAAGGCTGGCCTCAAATTCCTATCATGAGATCCGTAACTATTCACCGGGGTCAGCAGCTTTTCTGTCTCTGCAAAAAAGAGAACACAGCCTGATAGAATCACAGGGCTGGAATCATGGGTCTTCTAGTCCAGCTCTAATCAAATGGTTATCCAGTGATAAGCAGCCACAATTCTGGGAGGCAAGCTATTCCATTGACTGATTAGAGGTTTTTAGAGGTTTTATTTGCATTTGTAGGCCGCCCTTTTCCCTGAGGGGACTCAG